AGGGGGGACAGCGGGCAGACGTCTTGTCACTGTGTGTGCTGCAGCTCAGTGTGTTTCTCCACCAGTGTTTTTTAGGGCGTGCCACAAAGTGAGCATTATGGTGCGTGTAACAAAGTGACGCAGATATGTTATGGAAGTAAAGGCTGGACCACAATCGAGCTGTTTTAAGGCAGCTCAGGAGCAGTGTTTACTGTGGGAGATGGTAACTCCCTTTGGGGCGGACTATGGGCTTTTTCACTTTGCAGACCTATTACAAGCACAAAAAAGATAACTAACACAATAAAAAGGAAAGGGAAAAGGCCAAAAAGCACAATCTGACCTTGTTAAGAGCATCTTACTATCGTAATAATGTGCCCTACTTTAGTCCTGGTAATTCTTGATCAATGGCGCGATCGCTTTCTTCTGACTCAAGATAGCAATGCGCCAACTATTTGCCTGACTACAACTCATTTTAAGACCAACACTCCCATGTGTGCATAGACATGAGCAATAGCATGACAATATGTGTGCGCGCACACAATGACAGTACTTACTGACTGTTACCTTGGGGGATTTTAGAACTGATGTTTGAAAATTAAAATATACAGAAGGTGATAAGTAGCTCAGCTACTATCTAATAAGGAGAGGGAAGAGATAGCAGTGTTGGGGGAGAGAGAGAGAGAGAGAGAGAGAGAGAGAGACATGATGACAATGAGAAGAAATTGGAAGGTAAAAGGTAGGACCAAAAAAGGAAAAGACAGTGTGCATTACAATAGCTTAGTATGTGAGTGAGCGCAGTGTTACACGTGCCAGATTCATGCCAACTCAGTCCATTCGTCTCTCCAGCCAGCGCTCTCATTAACACATTACATTCACTACACCATACACAACATACACTGCCCTTTTGCATGGCTATTAGCACATGGCAGTCACTTCATTATAAAATTGTGCATTCCCCTCCTATATTGTTTCCTTTACTACACTGCAGCCACTTCATTATTTAGTAGTACGCTCCCCTCCTTTAGTATCATTACCGCAGTGCAGTCCTTTTATTAGACAGCAGTCTCAAGAAAGACTCTCTTGAGCCATGGCCAACCAGAGGTTCCTCCACTGCCTCAGTGATGTTGCAGATTGCCCCCCCCCCCCCCTTTTTATCCTTCCTCACTGCCCAACAGGCTGGAGGCTCTGAATATTTTGCTATGTAAAGCCTGTGCATTCAACCTATAATATGATGCTGGGTGATATGACTAAAAATAAATATCACAAAAGTTTTTTATATTTACCTTGACAAAGACAGATTCACAATTAACTACAACTGTGGCTCCCAGGCACATGCAAATCTGCATCAAGAATCACGTTTTACTTATGCAAAATCATTAAGGCATCAGCACTTTATCTGTGGCATGCTCTTTTGTTTTTAAGATATGGAATTAACATGAAAAGAGGCAAAAAGTGAAGTACGGTCAGGATATTGTGTTTTTTTATAGGGACAGCCCTGGAAAGCTTTCAAGAGAAGCTCATTAGACACACCAACATCAGCAAAATTAGGTTAGTTAATGACTCATGTCAGTTTCAATCCCACTGCCAAGCACCTTGCTCTCCAGCTTCCACGTCAACGTCCACCAACCATCACCTCTTATTTACTTAGCTATCTTTCTAATGCCTGATTCAAATGTATGTCAGTGTTTCAGGCCTCAACTGATCTACCATTATCCGCAAATTGCCTGTAGAAGTTTCTAAGCAGACTGCTTCTGACATGACCTTCAGGAGGTGATTGTGCTGCCAGCAGTATCTCTTTTCTCCTGGTACCACGGGGCATCGACCTATGTGCTCCAAGGTTCCAGTATAGTTGACACCCTGTGTCTCTGGTGGGCCTTCATGTCTTAAAAGGTCAATTAAACAAAATGACAAAAACCCATTTTACCAACTGGTACCTAGCCATGCCTTTTCTTGAGGTTTGGAGATATCCACTGCTAAACCTTTACCACTACTACAAGTAAATGCAATTTTACTTGTGATGGTGGTGTAATATATAAGTTTAAATGAAAAAGAAATCTCACTGAAACGTGTTGCTATATGAGATCATACCTCCCACCAGAGAAGATGTATATGTAATTTCCACTGTGATGGACATTAATTTGACTTTTCAATCACATCATTTTGAATGTCTCAGTAAATATTACAACATGCAGCATCAAATCAAGATCATATTTGCCATTTTTATTTGGGTCACTTTGCTTAACTGTGTGCATTGTGTAATACTATAATCTGAAACATCAAAATAGATTTGAGTGTTTTTTGTTTGTTTGTTTTGACATTAAAAAGGATATTTTTAAATTGTAAATGAGTACCTTAATGTAACGCTTTACAACTCTTAGCCACAAAAATAACTGGTTTGAATTTTATTAGGTGTTGCTAAACCACACAGCTTTGCCCTTTTTTTCTGAAAAAAATACATGATAGAAACTGAGGAAAAACTAAATCTGTACAAGACAAACGCTGTATCCTCTCACTGCAAGCTCAACCTCAGCTCCTTGAGCATACATGTGTCTGATCTAATTTCACAACAATATTAATTATTCATCGGCTAACATTAAAAAATGATCACGATACAATTAACTTGGACCAAGAGTATTTCAGCTCATCCTGCATACTCCACCGGAGTACAACAACCAGAACAAACAAACAAACAAACAAAAAAGTTTGCTCAATAACTGACAAAACAACAACAGCATCAAAACAACATGAATCACTGCTGAATTTTATTCTTTAAAGCAAAATTTAAGACAAGCTCTGGTTGCAAGAAAAAAGTCTCCTTTGGGTCTGCAAGGATGTAATGGCTGACAGCCCAATACTCTTTCTTTATAGAGATATCATATATTTTTCATCACAGAAAGTCTTTGAACCCAAGTGTGGGGGATTATTTCAATCGACTTCTGAAGAGTCACAGTGTCACCCGAGAGTGGCACAGATCTGATTCGGGCCCCTCAGCAAGTGGCACTGAAAACCATGAACAGACGCCAAACAACGAAAGATGGTATCACGAGATGCACTGCCGCTATATGAACGCTCATACATGCAGCAGTCATACATGGAAAAAAATTGTTCCTCCTAATTTTTGTTTCATATTCTGGTCCTTGCTCCCAACCCCAACGGGAAATCATTACTTCCAGCCTTCTAAATATGCATGTGATTAATTAGGCATCTTGTTATCACTGGCTAATCTGCATAGGACTCTCATGTTTAAAGTCCCTCTCATTACCATTCAGAAGGTCATCTCACAGGTGCGCTGGATAAATATATAACACACAGTAGCTGATCAAAAACACAAGCTAATAAACAGGGCAGGACGAGCACATGCACACGCACGCACGCACTCGCATATGCAAACACGCATACAGACATGTTCAAACAAGCACGGACACACAGACGTGCTCGCTCAAGTGTATAGACCCCCAGAAACATACACACATGCGCATGCAGACACTGAGAGTGGACACCCACCAAGAAGCAGACACATTATGCCACCCCGCAGACAGAAGGTCCAGGTTTCCCTCGTACTGGTGGCAGTTTGGTCTGTGCCAACTCATTAAGAACACAGCTGGTCGTAAGACTAAGAGTGGGGTAAGACCACAGGGGTCCTCAGACGGGTGTCTGATTGGATTTTCACACAATGTTCATAAGTATAAAAAGCTCATTGTGCCATGAGTGTGTCCTCAATATATGACACTTGTTGAAACTGCAGCTTACTTTCACTGAAGCAAATTAAGCTTCTGTACTGTTGTATCTTATTGTGCATGTTGAATGAAATTCAGTTGTTTGTTGTTTCCTCTATGAACGCAAATTTAAGTTTGCAGTATTGGCAGCTGCCGGATTTGTGCAGGGAAAGGTAGCTGCTCTTTTCTTAGCACTTGATGTTAAATTCCCCCTGTGACATCAGCAGAGTGGTCTTCCAACCTCTGCTTGAATATCAAGTTCCTCTCTTTTAGTATAGAGCTGAAACACCTATCTTCATCTCGCCACCGATCTTTCAAATATGTATCTTGGTTATTTTGGACAGACAATGGGCCTGATGAAAAAAAATTAAAAAACACTCATACAAACATATTATCTTTCCTAAGTGACACGTGCGAGTGGTTTCAGAGAATTTTATCGCACAATTTTCTCTTAAGTACAAATAAAATTCAAGTGGTCCAGATGTGTCATATGACTCTGCTTCTCTACAGACGGGGATATACCACTTGTTTGATTTAAGAATCGTAAAATTAATCTTAGTCTGAATGTATTTGGAGTTTAAATATGATACAGAAATGAGCCAAAATTAAAGATGTAACTAAAACAAACTCAATGCAAAATGTATATTCTGTTCATATTATCATCATCATTGCTTGCCAATTTACTGAGAGTTGGTTTTTTTTAAGCTATTATGATTTGTAATGGCATGTTTTGGCACAGCAACTTATAGTATTTTTTAGGAAATTCCTCTAGTGAATTCCATATTTTTACTCTTTAGTAACATTTTTGTGAATAAATTTGCCACAAATAGAAGGGACATATAACCTGTATGGCAATTTGAGAGGCACTGATTATGCTAATGATTAAATCTCACAAACATGCACTTCGTCATGAACAGGCAACATTCTTTAGTCTTAAGTTTGTCCATTTAAGAAGTTTTGGTGAGTCCAACTTGGAATATTCGTACAAGCGAACAGAACAAAATATAAGAATCCGATAATATTCTTGAATGCATGTTTTCTTCCTTCCACCATATATCATTTTTTGTTGTATTAACAAAACTAAAGAAATGTCTCTTTTTAAAAGAAACACACATTCTGTTTAATTTTCATATAGTTTGGACAAAAAAGTTTAGTTGACCCCTGAATATTTAGACTTAATTTGTATAATGTATATTGTTTTAAGTGAGAAAAAAGAGGATCTTTCTTCACAGGCCTACAAACACAGAGTAAGTGTTAGCTTCAGAGCATCATTCAAATGCTAACAAGGAAAAAAAGTGTACTCACTCAGGTTCCATTTGAGTCCAGAGGTAATTGTTTGGCAGGGTCCACCAACTGGAATGAGGCTGCACCAGTCGCCCTCCAGGCCTGTGTTCACCCCCAGTCTGTGGCTGCCCTGCTGACATACAGCATGAGTGTGAATATTAATGAGTATTTGCGTGTGTGTGGGTATGTCAAAGTTATCGACAGGTGGGAACAATGAATTAAAACATTTTAAAGAGAAAACAAATTTGGAGCACGACTTCTTAAACTTTTCCAGCTCCAAATGAGAAACTGCCTTGGTCCCCCCAGGGACCGAGGCTCATAAAAATAAATGATTGCTCCTGTCAATGCTGCAACCCATTTTCAGTTCCTACCCACACTTAGAAAGTATTCCTTGTGTCTGTCACATGCAGTTAAAATGTTGTTGTACTGACACCCAATAACTGTAGGAACAACCAGCTTGTTGTTACTGGTTTTTACTTGTTTCTCTACTATGAAGACTTCACTTGAAGTCAGTGGGTTAATACCACCTAATTAAGGCAGCACCAAAAATATTTGGCATAGGCCTAAATACAAATTGAATACAGTGATAAACAATAAATGCATCAATGAAACCTGGAAAAAGGCGTCTGTATGTAATACCGGCAAGCAGTGAAGGATATCTTGGCAAGATGTTTTAATATGTAAACACAGAAGACCACTAAGTGGATAAAACTTCAGTACAGTTGAGTTCAGTAGCTGAGAGGTTACTGGAAAGCATGAGTGAAATACTATAATACTATAATTTTATGGTTACATTATAACAGAGTTAGCTGGATGGCGGCTTTCGGCATGTTCGGTGCGGTTCTGAGATTCTACTGATCTCCAGGCGAATAGGCTGATGGGGCAAAAAGACAAAAGGAAGAGAGGATCAGCAACAAGTTTTTTTGTTGTTGTTGTTCCAATTTATTTTCTAAACAATTAATAAAGGTAGCACATGTGGTATGCTTCTATGTTTAAAAGCGTGGTCTCCCCATTTATGAATAGTATAGTAAAACTAGGGTATGCATGGCTGTAAAAAACAGACTAGAAGAAGTAGAGGTTACAAACTAGAAACAAAATCCATTGTTTTCCAACCATCAATAGACATCAAAGAGAAGAAGGAACAAAACCAGTCAATCTACATGAGTAAAATGGAGCGAGGTCTTCGGGAAGCTTCTTCGTCTTCTTCTCTCAGAGTGGATCTTTCATGTGACTTATGTTTGCTACGTCAGAATGTATTCAGAAAAGGTGTTGCCGTGTCACATTACTCTTTAACTACTCATTAACTCTTTTTCAAAAAAGGCAAAAACCACCTCAAGCAAGCAACAACACTTTTTTTGCAAAATTGAGGACCCTTACCCTAACACTGGTGTCAGCATGGCAAAATAAAACTTCCTATATTATTAATTAAACAAGACAGCCCCTCTGTTATTTGTCTTCTGTCTTCAGCACAAAGCACTGTGAACTTCCTGGCCATCTCCTGGTATGTGGACGTATTGAGTCAGTTTGAGGCCTGTAAATTTGCCACTTGTCACTTTCCATTATTACCATCCTTGAGTCCTGGCAGGGCCTATTTTGTGACTCTGAGGTCATGTAAAGACAGGATGTTTGAACAGAGGCTGTTTCATGACCCAGAAGCCATGTAGACAACAACTCTTTTATCTATAAAAGACACAAAACGTTCATCAGCATTCATGTTGATTCACGCTACAAACTCTTTTCTGATGGTGTCTGAGCGATGGATGAAGAAATGTTTTACGGTACAGTAAAGTCTTTCTATAAAGTGCTCTACAGAGAAAATAAACATGAACAAAATTTCGAAATGTCACGGTATCCCTTTGAGAAAACTATGGTTGGAGAAAAAAGCGAGAACATCACACAGTAAAGGTACAAGGTAGTGTCAGACTCTTCAGGCTGAATAATGACTTTGCTCTGAATGTACTGGTTATAATAAAGCCTGATGCCAGAATGTAAAAAGGTCAAAACAAAGTTTCTTTCATTCACAACATATAAAAAGACACAAAGCAACACCCCAATCTCATTACAACACAAATACTTGTTTTTGTTAAGGATACACTGCATCTGCAGGAAACCAAAAATGACTACAATTTGATAATTATGTATCATACACACTTACAGCTGCAGGCTACAAGTGCAATGTATGCTCAACCTGCCACACACCCAAGTATAAATACAAAGACAAAAAGTATTACAGTGACAGCTACAACTTAGATCAGTCATCTAAAAGGATCATACAGACAGCAAAGACAGGCACACTCAATTAAGAGTTTGAAATCTTGAAAGTGTGACAGGTTTAAAGCAGAGTTTCCTTTGCTTGGCTTCCTGGAGCTGTGGAGCCGGAGGGAAGGAATGAAGGGAAGATTCTAAGTGTTGGAGCATTTGGTGTTCAGGAAACATCCCTGAGGTTGTTTTCTATACATAAACAGAACCTCTTTGTGTAAACCCACACATTAGCAGGAGAGGCTCGGCTCGGGGTAAGAATGTACCCTTTTTCTGGATGTAGAGCTAGCTGCTAACTGCGATAGCAACGTTTGACCTGAAATATGGAGAGCAAGAGGGATGAAGCAGGAAATCATCAAGGAAAGTTTAATTTTAAAAGTTGCCCATTTAATGCAGTGTTCTGACTCTATTTAAAACTACCAAGTATGAGGGATAATTGTTGTATTGTTATAATTTTTTGTTTCGTTTTGTCATATTTCCTTTGTGTTAAGATGCGTTTGCAATTTGGTGGTGGATTTAAGTTCCAATTTAAATTATTTTTGAGAAATATTTTTAAAAAATCAAAGACAAAGGCAGATATTTTATCAATGCTACCGATGAAAGTGAATAAGTTTGCAGGTAGTGTCTTGCAATTACAACATTATATTATTCACTTCAGCACGGAATAGACCATCCTGGGTCAGTTCTTTACCTCATGTATATATTTATTTTATATTTAAATGACAAGTCGTTGCTAACTTGCTCCAGCACAGCAGAAGTTAACATACCTCAGGTATTACACTTTATCATTTAAATCAGCTCTTGTTCTGACAAGTTTCACTCCTCAAAAGGGCATCAGGAAAACAAGCCTGTATATTTGACCCCTTATAGAATGATTTATAGCACGTATTGGGCTGACGCAGCACTGTGCATCGCTTGTCCCACAACACAGAGAAAAGGCTTCCTCAAGTAACTTCAGGGGCTGGGATACTAACTTCAGTAAATGTGGCTCTCCTTGGCCCCCGACCGAGGCTCAATAGACCAAACAGCAAAAGAAAAACTAACAAGACCAATGAACTCAGTGCAACTTTTTTCCTTTTTTTAAAGATCAAAACAGAGTAAATTTAGCGTCACCTTGGGTCCTTGACTGATTAAAACATCTTCTTGTTGTGTAGGGACTCAGAATAAACAAGCCTGCAGACCTTGTAGTGTACCTACCCATAATTTTATAAAAGACATGAGAATTATATAGTGCCCTGAGACAGCTATAGAAAACACAAGACTTCTGCATAATTCCCAAAGACAGCATAATAACTCTTTGACACTAAAAAAGCTAAAACAAACAGGCACAATCCTGATTAAATCAGAGCATTATCTGTGACTCAGGGACTCAGGGTTTAATGAGATGCTGCAGTTTTAAGTAGCTTTAACCCCTTAACGCCGATTGTCGCAAATTTGCATCACACCTCTTCCTTTCAGACTGCAGCTGAGATAGCGTATGTATTCCCCCAATGCCTGTTTGCGCATATTCAATACGTAACTGGGAACCTTTTGCAAGCACCGGTTTCTCGTTTATGCCTGTTGTCGCTAATTTGCATCATACCTAATTTTATTTTATTTTTTTATTGTAAATAAATTCAGGCATGAGGCTATTAAGAAATATTTTCACGTAACATAATCCACACTTATCAAAATGCAAAATTGACATATCTGGTCATTGACCGCTGGTCTTAATTTATTGTGTGTTTGTGTTAGAATGTGTACAGAACATGAACAATTCTCTATGTATTTATTGTACCACCAAATCCCAAAGCTAAGCACGTAACAAAGCGGTGATTGCATGGAATACAGGTGGTGAAGATATTTGGCAAAAGTTGTAAACACTTCAATTACAGATGTAACTTGAACAAATAGCACTGGGTCTTTCGAAGGTTGCGTTCACCTTCATGTACAGGCGTCTGCGTTCATCAGTCGCTAGCGAATTGGAGCTGCGTTGACAAACGAGCTTAATTTACCCTCACTGAAGTAAGATTAATTGGAGGTGTCGAGGTATGAAGAGGCAAATGACAGTGCGCCTTTGGAATAATGACTAGAAGTAGGGAGGGAGTGCATGAAAGAAAGGTTTACTTAACGTATTACAAGGTGTCATCAGGAAGTGTGACAGTTAGTTGTTTGTCCTGACGAGCCTGCAAATAAACAACACAGGGAGAGAAAAAAAAGAGCAGCATGTGTCCCAAATGGCGGCTGCTTGGCCCACTTGTAAACTCAATCAACTGAGGAGCATGAGAAAGTGGCTGGCATTGAGGAAAAACAATTTGGGAGCATCAAAAGAGACTCTCTCGCTCATGCACAACAGCAAATTAGGGCACCATAAGAGCAGAGAAGTGTGTGTGTGTGTGTGGGTGTGGGTGTGGTGTGTGTGTGTGTGTGTGGGGAGGGGGGGGGGGTCTTGAAGTGATTACTTAACAAAGAAACAAAGTGTTCAACACTCCAATCAAGGTGGAAGCACAGCAAGAAAAAGAACATTTTTGAGAGAGAACAGAAAATGAAGAAAAGAACTGGGAGAGGGGTGATTAGAAGGGGTAGGAGATCTTAGAGCAGGAGAGCAGAATTTTAGTTTAGCGTGGTGAAAATATACGGAGGTTTTGCCTGTGTGTGTAGTTTTTAAATGTGACTTCAAATACAGATACAGCCATTATAAACCCACCTTAGGTAGAAGCGAAATACTCAAAAATTAAAACAAGGATAAATGCAGCATGTTTGTTATCACCTTGCTTTTTAGTTGTACTTCACAACACCTGTATAAAAACGGCCCGCTGACTTTGTAGCTCAAAGAAGAGAAAATTCAACGTAAAACACTTAACAGGAGAGAACAGCTGCACAGTGGTTTCTCTGTGCATACATGTGAAGGCTAAGTACTGTGTGTTTAACAATACACTCACGGGTCTGAGCAGGTACGCCAGGCTAGTCCCCTGTATGATCAACAGGGGGAGTCGTGTCATGGACAGAGCGTGGTGGAGGGTCTCAACAGACGCCATGGTCTGGTCAAATCTGCCAGCCAGACCGCCCAGTGTCACTATGGCATCCACCTGGAAAGACAAACAGAATTTCAGAAGCCGTGGTTTGATATACTGGCCTGGGCTGATACTGGTGTTTGTTTCAATGAAGAAAAGTGACAGGAGAAGTGGGTGCAGAAAACAAAGACAAAGAAAAATTGCGTTTTATTTGCATTTAGATCCAAAGAACACACATTGTGGCAGACAACTGTGCTACTTGGCTTATGCTGGCCCTATTTTGTGTGAGGAAAACAAATCCAGTAAGAAATATGTGTCTATAAACTGTTAAAAGGTTACATTTTTAACATCTTCAGTAGGAATTAATGAACGTGAGTGCCAAAGACAGGCTGGGGAAGTCGGAATGTAATGAGAGAGTGACTAATGTATTACCAGTTTTAGTCTTTTTAATTTAACAAAGAATAAAAATTAAAAAAAGACAAGTAAACAATTAAAGAAAGGAACAGTAAGGACACAGAGCTTCCAGAGAGAACTGCGATGGAGGACAGATAAACAATCAGTGGTAGATCAAAGAATAAATTTGGGCCAACACAATTACGATAAACATCAGTCTCCTGAATTAAGAGGTGAACATGTTAACAGCAAATCAAGTAGATTACTTAAACTAACACCATTTCCTGCACCCTCTGAGCTAAAATTAGGTTCTTTTTAGCTTCGAGCCAGCAGTTCACATAAATGTAATATTTACAGCTCTCAGCAGTTATATCCTTACACAAAATACCCGAGCAGTCAAGCAGCAGTGCTGACAGCCTTAAAACCCAACAGAGTCTAAAGGGCAGAGGCGCTGTCAGAGGCTGACGACTGACAGTCACACCACCACAGAAAATGAACCAAATATTATCAGACACACTCACTTCACTTCCACATACTGCAAATAAATAACTAAACAAACAGAATGTAGGAGGTACAATCAATTTCTATTGCCTTTGCTGATGTTGACCATTATTCCTTGGGCTGCAGCTAAACAGAGGGATCCACAGTTAACTCTTTTTAACAATTACTAACTTTGATAATGTACTACTCTTACCACTATAGATGTGTGAGGTTTGTTTCTTTGTGCAAGTATATGTATATGCATTAACCCATAAAATACAATAAACTCCTGTAGTGTCACTCTGCCACATTCCCCCTTTACTACTTCAACAACCTGCCATTACTTCAAAGTATTAAACATTTCCCAAAAGGTGAAAGAGCTCAGATCAAACTTGCGGTATAGCTCCTGAGACTAGACAATTTACCGAACTGAATGTATTGTAACTAACTTCCTGCCTCAGGTGATGGAGTTAAAATAAAAACAAGTGCTGAGATCGAGGTTATTTCAACATCTGGCTGACGCCCACACATGCAGAGGCATCGCCTAAACTGTAAACAACATCGCTTGGTAAACAAACTCCCCTCTGTGAGAGAGAGAGAGAGAGAGAGAGAGAGAGAGAGAGAGAGAGAGAGAGAGAGAGAGAGAGAGAGAGAGAGAGAGAGAGAGAGAGGTTATTAAGTAGAAAAAATGAAAATACTCCAGTTAAGTACTTTCCTGTGATTTAATAAAACTTACAGAATAATACAAACAAATCTGAAACACACTTCATTAAGCTACACAGAGAATCCCATCCATGTGTTACTCCAAAAAGGCGGGAACAAACACAAAAATCTCTTTCTAAATATTGAACCTGGTCTTACAGGAAAAGCTGCTGTTACTGTATTTTTTTAACAAATCCAATGAAAATACCAAAACCAACAATGTGTTTGTCTGTCTCTCTAAACTTTGTGCCTTCCATACTGTCTGGGGCTCCCAGTGTGACTGCATCGCTCATTGATACTGTATGTTTTGAATAGTTTAGGAACAATAGAGGGCTGCTCGATTATGGCAAAAATCCAAATCCTGATTATTTTGTTTAATACTGAGACCACGATAATTTAACATTACTGATTGAATAAGAAAACATCATGCATTTATTAAACTTTTATTTAACAGAATTCTTTATATTTTAAAATTATTGTATGTGCATTACCCCAAAAATTCCATATAGCCCATGAAATAAGACACATTTATCCAACATTATTATCTTAGCTGAGTCTTAGAGCACAAGAGGATGTCAGCAACGGAGTGTTTCCCTAGGGGCTGACTGGCTTTGGGGAGTGGAAGGGTGCTCTGTGTTTGCAGGGGTTCTTGAAGTGATTACTTAACAAAGAAACACAGTCGCTCCAATCAAGGTGAAAGAAGAGCAAGGAAAAGAACATATGGAGAGGAGCAGAGCAGAGAGTGGTGAACAACTTGAGTTGACAACAACTCGTTACATAACCATGGTGTTCTGTCTAGAGATGCAGTTACTAAAACCATCGGTGAGCAAGAGAAGTATAAATAATATGGAATTTGTTAGGCTATGAGTAGAGGAAAATACTGTTATCTGCTAGTTTAATTTATGCAGTGTAAAATGCCGTAGGCTTAAGCTAATAATGATGACTAGCAAGTTATAGCAGTTGTAACCACTGTCATCTTAGCTCAAGCTAAACAAACATGCCACAGCCTGACTGAGAATGAGTTTGGGTTTGATAAAATTTGATTAATTGCACAGCTATAGAAGGTTGTTGGTTTTGCTCTTTTTTCGCAAGTTTTTAAATATGATAATAAATATATAATATAAATGACAATACAGAAAATTGACAAATGTATCCTTTAACTCTGTAGTATCTGAAGTATCTCTTGTCTACAATAGGCTTGGGCCCTTTTGTCCACCCATCAAACCATCTACCCAATTCATCTCTGATGCCCTTTCCACCTTTGTTACTGCTTACTAAGAACAGATTTTCACAAGAATGCCCTGACAGGACCAAAGCTGCTCCCAGAGGGGGGGAATGGAGGGGGCAGATGGATCAAACTAACAGCGAACAGTATCAATGAAGAGCATCAGTCAGTTCAAAATTCACAGCAAGTCCCCAAAATCAGAGGACAGAAAAGCTCAAAGAAAGTAAAGAACGCTGAGAGAGAACAAGGAACAATGACTGGAGAGAGGGGAGAAAAAAGGTGTATCGTGTTTCAGCATCCTGTCATACACTAGCTTGCTCAATCTTCCGCTTCCCATCACACTTCTGTTGTGTCCGCTACGCATATCAAACTCTATATACTAGCTTGAATTTTTATTTGTTCCTTTTTCATGTTTGTTTACTAAAAACAAACAAAAAAAAACAAGCAGGGAAAGGAGAATCTCACGGCTGAATGAAGAAAATTCAACAAGCTGGCTTAACATATCCGGCAGTACTCTTTCCTGATTGGCTGGGGGAGCCAGAGCGAGCAACGCCGGCTCGCAGATCAACACAAAAACTCTCATTCATTTATTGGGGATGATGAACAGATAACCAGAGAATAGAGAGACGAAAATGAAAACAGAAGTGCTGCTTATGCCTGCAACAGTGAAGCAAAGGAGAGAGAAGCTAACTAGGACAGAGCCGCGAGACAACAAACAAACACACACACACACACCAGATGTTGCATACACACATGCTTCAACAAGTACATACACAAACAAATGCAAACAGGTACCGAATGCCCACAAACACACAAACAAGGTTTTCACAAACACATGCACAATGTAGATAGGCACATACACAGATAGACACACTTTCAAATGCATGTGCACTGTGACATAAACACACAAACACACACATATAAATAAATCTATATACACATAACCAAATATATACTCCATCCACCCACCATAATTCTCTGATACCATTCTCTGGGATTCCACCCAACACAATATGAGATAAATTCTCTAAATCGAGCGCTAAGCTGTGTGGAGGAAAATATTCAGGGGCTAATATGTTGAATGTTAAACAGCTCACACATGAGCACAATGCTCAGTAATACCCAAATCACTGTTATTATTTCATCTATGTATTTAATTCATTTAAACAGGTAAAGTGGATGAAGAAAATGACATGGTATGATATTAAATCACTAGAAAGTTCTGTTTTTACATAACCTACTCCTATTCACAAAATGTTGGAGGGAACAAGAGTTCAAATAAGAGTCATAGTATGTAAAGAAAAGAGGGAAAATCCCGGTAAACAAACAAAAAAGTCATCATCAGCAACTCTAATAGAATGTCAAAAACTGATTGCCAGGCTCCTATCTCTTGCAGGCAGACACACGGACAAACACGCCAGTTCAAAGGCAGAATAAACATTAGCCAGGCCGAGAAAAAAAAAAGCCTATGGAAGGGAAGGACAAAAGTATATCTTCTCTTAAAGCCGGACACCAAAAGAACAAACAAAGTGAAAATGCACAAAGCGGCAACATTTGTGATTAGTGTATGAGATGATGTGCATTTTTGTGTGTCTGCAAGCATCTTTTCTCCATGTTCTTTCATCAGCTTAGAGATGTGAAGTGATTGGGGCACTCTGCGGTGATTGGAGCAACACTCGGCATACTGCTTAAAAAAATCTAATAATGGTGGTAAAATAGTAAGATAGAGAAAGAGCGAGGCAGAGGGGAAAGAAACAGGCAGACAGAAAGAGGACAGAGAGATAAATACACAGACATATACATAAATTAATAGAAAAACCACTATCCCCCATTACAAATGAAAATTTGGATATTTTTACATTCTTAAAATTATACATACAGTGTAAGTATATTAGATATTTTCTCCTAGTGTAATGTGCAATCTCTGCAATTCATTTCACATTTTGTGAGTCAGAATGGAAATTTAGTCAATCTCTGGATCAGATTACTGTGTGTCTGGCTCTGCAGCAGCTGGCTGGGCACGGGGCTTCGCTCTGGCTGGCAGCTCATTTTGGAATTTTGGATATCAGGTTGTTAGGAGATGCTTTACAGTTTGAAAAGATCACAACCAAAGTAAAGTACTTCATTTCAAATCTGGCAAACCACAATTACCAGAAAAAACAGAAACTGGCTAATGCTATTCCGGTGGTATTCTTCAACGCTTGATTCTTCAGGGAATGTTGAGTGAGCATGCATGTTCCTTTTCAGCAGCATGATGTTTCATATTCATACACGCCCACGCGTTCACACCTCAGATCTGCCTGCAGTCAACCGCAGTCCAACACTATTGACCTCTGAGCAGCTCATCTTAAGAACCTGAAATCTGAATGCCTTGCTTAAGGGCACTAAACTCTCAGAGGCTAAGGGAGAGGAGAGCTTTACTTATTCATTTTACCCAGTGCTATAACTGCTGTTAGTCCTTCAAATAATAATAACAGCAATAATACCCTTTTAAAATTGTGTTTTTGACACCGATATGCCTAGAAAGTCACCGCTCCCAGCCAAGAAATAGCCTGGCACGTAACCCCACAATAAAACCACAACTTGCTTTTGTGCTTTTTTTCACTTACATTATTATAGGGATTAAACAAACAATATATAATATGTTAATCTGTGAGCTTTAGAGGTGCTGGAAAGCACATTTTGTTACCTTTGGACTATCTGCTTCCCCCTGCTTCCACCCTTTATGCTAAGCTAAGCTAACCATCTCCTGGCTCACAAATAAGTGTATTTACCAACACGTCAAACTATTCCAATAAAAATGTATAATCATCATCGTCATCTGAGAATGAAACTGCGAGTGTGTGTGTGTGTGTGTGTGTGTGTGTGTGTGTGTGCATGTGGGAGGTGCCGTAGATGTTTACCTGTAACTGTCTTGTCTGAATTTCCTCCACCATGATTGCAAGACACTTGGTGAAGTCTGTTAGATCCTGGTCATCTGTTTCTATCAGCTTGCACTCCTATGCACAAAGGAAACACACATACACACACACACAGGCAACAAAACACATTCAGATAGATGTACACATCCACAGACAGCAAAACTAAAACCTCCGGCAGAGATAAGGGATAGGGGGGATAGAAACACAGAAAGATAGAGAGATGGAGTGAGGTATAAATCAGTGTTTTAGTCTAGTGTGGCTGCGGGCTGTGTTGCTGAATAATGTAGAGGTTCCAGTCAGTGGCCCTAAACTACAGCATCCAGGTAAACAACCATGCTCTGGCTTTCTCTCCCTCTGTCTCCTTCTCTCTCCACACACTGTCACTTTCCTCCTAACACACACCAATTTCCCACACACAAACTTCACACAAACTTGTTCGCCGTGCTCTGTTTGATCCCATCCATCCTCCCTCCTCTCCCCTTCATCCCGGCCTCCCCTTGTCTTTCTCCCTCCCTTGCGGAGGCTTTTCTGTTCTCTCCTTTCCATTTATGCAGAATTATTCACCGTTTCCGACAAATCTCTGAAGGAACGCCTCAAACTTTCCCATTGTTCTGCTCCTAAAGCATTACCATAAAAGTCTGTTCTCTCTCATGGAAAAAAAAAGGTATAAGGCAACCTGTGTGAAATGTGTGAAAAAGGGACTAATTTTACAGACAGCTACAGAGAGAGGGGAAAAGGAGGGTGTCACCGCTGAAGGCAACCTAAATCTCTGTGTGCGAGTGTGTATGTGTGTGTGTGTGTGTGTGTGTGTGTGATCATGTGTGCATGGCGAAGTGTATCAGTGGGGGTCTGATCACAGTAACACACAGTGTGACACGGCACAGAGATCACACAGATTCTGCATTTTCTTTCCTCGAAGGTGTGCGTGTGTGTGTTTATGCAACACTTTACACTGTATTTATTATTTATTGAACCGAGCTTCATCTCTCCTCAAGTGTTCTGGCTTGACATTTTGCTTGTTATAAACAACGGAAAGTCCACTACATAGACGAATTTGCATTTTATTCGCATGACCTTGGGTTATTCTAAATCCGTACATGAACAAGTCACAGCCAGGAAAACAAAACATTGAACAAAGACTATGACGTAGGATGTCATCAGAGGACTGTCGAGAAGCACCGTCTTGTACCTGAACTATGCTTGTATATAATTTAGGTACAATACCATACCGTCTTGTGTTAAAATGTATTTCAAATAAACACAAGTAACTCCCTCTGTCTCATTATAACTGACATTAGTCACCCCATCTTGCATGTTATCCATCTGCAGGTCCTTAAAAGACATTTTGTGTAGAGTGCTTACACTTTTTTGTTGTATTCACTTCATTATATTTTACAGGGTAGCGGATGTATGCATTAAAGTAAGGCAAACTCAACAGACATCTTACACAATATCTAAAAACTTTTTTTGCTTGTGAACCATTAAGATCAATAAATATCTCCTGGCAAACTTGAGTTGGGAGCACATCAATCGAAGGGTGATGCTCCCCTCTCAGATCATTTCATTCATTTGAATAATTTTTAGAGGCTAGTAACTAGACTAGAGAAAAGTCTGAAAAACAAACAAAGTTTTATTTATCAGAAAATAGAATTTTCTTTATTTTCTATGTTTGCATTCATCTCGTGACCACTGATCTCACAGACATTGCACAAGCACACTCAACACCCAACAATTATATTGATCTATAGCTGTGGTTAGGGGAGAAGCAGTGCCTCCTGCCAAGCTGTGTTAACACTGCCAACAAGCATTACCATTAAATTGTTTTTATGTTTAGGTTAATGACGATTAATGTGAGGTTTAGAGCCAAAAATGACGTTTATGCTCTTAGCAGGCTCAACTCAGGACAACACAGTTTGAGTTGTTTGTGGATGTTAACAGGGAGGTAGTCATAAGTATGATAGAATATATTTTCAGTGTTAAAAGTAAAAAGACGTGTGCAGGAACAAAAGAGATGAGCAAGTTTGCCTGATCCTGAGTAAGCAGGAAGTGTGAGACATACCAGCAAAATGAATTTTGATGACTGGGTCTAAGTGCATCATGAGTGCACTGACATTTGGGGCCATGTCAGACTGCACACTTGTACCCACTTTGATGACTCGGTCTGCATGTTCTTGTCAGGTCTCGAGCAAAAGAGCCGTTTAACCCTAGTCGACGCTGGATAGTCACTTATCCACTTAGGCAGCGTGATCTCAGCAATGTAATCCTCCAACACCACGCACACTCAGAAAGCTTGATGTTTTCTTAAACTTTCTTAAAAAGCTGACTTCACAGTTAAATTGATGAGGGTGTAGTTTCCTCACACAGTGACAATGTGAGGGTCATTTTGGGCGAACATGTGCCTATATTCAGGATTAGACGGATTTAACCCTTGTTTTATTTGCCAGTCAAGTTATTGAGAATGTTACAGGAATTATTCAGAAACAGAGCAGATAACTTGTGTGATATACTTATTTTCTAAGTCTTCACAATGTGTAGCTACAACGACTTGTATATAATTGCGAGCTTTAAGGTATACTAAAAACAGTAACATCGAACTCCGCAGTCAAACACAGCTCTGCAAGAAAATGTCTATATAGTCAGGGTCACTTGAAGTCTTTGTTGCAGCAGATGGGAAGGTCTTGCCTCAAAGGAAGTCAACTTCTTACTAGAGTCGCCTATATGTCAAGGTGGTTAAAGGAGTCTAGTTGTACATTTGAGGCTAAAGATATTATAGAGTTCTTTAGTACAAACTTTCAAATTATGTCTGCCTAAAGTCCCATTGCTTTTTGTTTGTGTGTGTGTGTGTGTGTGTGTGTGTGTGTGTATATATGTGTGTGCACCTGTAGGTCTGAGAGTGTGTGCAAGTTGTGTTCCACTCACCTTGTCTGAATAGAAAGCTTTGACCTCGGCAGTAATGGAATCAAAATCCCCACTGATATAGTCGGGGAGAAAGCTGGATGTGAGGATAGAAAGAGGGGGTGAGGGACAGAGGGAGAGGGTTACAATTGCAAGGAAGACAGAGTGTGAGGCGGAGATAGAAGAGAGATGGAGAGAGAGGACATTGGGGCATGTGTCAGCTCTTTGATCTGTGCAGCGAAAGAGAGGAGTGACGCCGCCGGGGGAAGACGAAGCAACACGGAGACTGACAGGGTGATTCTCTGTGGCACTGAGCCTGGCCCTGTCACACACACACACAAGTGACTGCTGAGATACACAGTTTGATGTGAAAACACACACACACACACACACACACACACACACACGCATATACACACACACGCATATACACACACACATACATGTCATCAAACATAAGCAAATCTGCTAGTTTGATAAATACATCCAAGTAAACTTAAACACATAAATGTAATAGTAATGATAGGACTAGAAGCAAATTCAATCCAAAGTCTCTCTCTCTCTCTCTCTCTGTCACACACACTCACGTGTACACACAAACAAACAGATCAGGATGTACCCGGTGTTCATCGATATTGGCCTGTTCCATTACAATGAGCGACTACATTCTTCATTAGAGGTCATTACAAGTCACAGAGCAATTTGATGATTTGAAACATGTTCTCAATCAATGCAGCATACTCTAAGAGTAAATGGTGAAATAAGTTAATACAAATAATCTTTGTTTATATATGTGGATTACTGACATGGGATAGAGGACAAAGGGAAGTAAAAACAATGCAGACTTGTGTGCTGCAGTACACTCACATTTTTTAAATAATTTGTAAACATTGACAGAGACAGTCAACCAAACAATACTCCCAACCAAAATCTGATCCTATAAGCCATATCTGGTTTTAAAGATACATTTTTGTAGAGTATCAAATGGGTTAAAAATGTATTTTCTACAAACATGGGGACTACATGGAGGATGAAATCGTGCGCTGAAAGGAGGAGGATGTTGAAGGATGCAAATGAACCTAGACTGCTGGGCTTGAAAGCTTGTAGTTTGCTTATGCGAGGTCACTGTACACGAACATTATGTGTATAACTTACTATGATATGGACAAAAAAACTACTTTCTCCTGGTTTTTGACTCATATAACCCATAAATGCAGGCACAAAGTTCACAAAATGAAGTAATACAGAATATTAGTTGTTAAGTACATGAATCTGGCAGGAAAGCCATGTTATTACAAGTAATTAAGAGGCGTTTAACTGGAAATTTAACTGGGCAGGAGGTTATATGGGAATATATATGCATGCATTCTGAACGTACATTTCCCTGTGTATTCCATTCATCCAAATACAACTTTGTTTTGAGGCAACCTGCATTCCCAGGGTGTAGGAATTAACAAGGTCTGTTTCAGATATCAGCAAAAACAGGCAAAACTCTACAAGCCACTACTGAGTAGAACATTCCTGTCAGAGAGAGAGACAGATAGCTCTGTTTATTCCATTTGTGTGTGTGTGTGTGTGTGTGTGTGTGTGTGTGTGTGTGTGTGTGTGTGTGTGTGTGTGTGTGTGTGTGTGTGTGTAAAGAATAGGACCACGCAGGGATGCGGTTGCCACTATCTAGAGGCATTAACAGGTCTGACATTACGATTTCATGGTTGGTTGGGTGGTGTGTTTGTTTGTGTGCGTGTATGTGTATTTATGTGTGTGTGTGTGTGTGCACGTTCCACAGCAAAAGGCGAGAATGATGTTCCGGTCCGTTGCAGAAAGAGATACAGAAGGATTATTCCCCCCCCCCCCCCCCGCATTCACATTTACACCAACAAGATACAGCAAGACAAACAGAACAGCAATTGTATGCAATCTACTGCCACACACACACACACACACGCACGCATAAAGACAATCAACCATAACCCTTCCTGAGCTGGACAAAAAAATATGATCCAGGTAAATACTTTCCACACAAACACATGCACAGGCACTGAGATGTGCACACACACACAATGTGCACAAACATATGCAAATAGGCAGGGACACACAAGCACATGCACACTTGACTTTCCACCCTCTTTATAATACAGGACGCCACAATTGCATCTCCATTCAGAAATAACCTTCATGTGACAGACGGGACGAGACGTGACACTGGGCCCGATCAGAGCTTTACACACACACACACACACACACACACACACACACACACATCCCATTGTGACCTGTGTGCATAACTCCAGCGGATGACAGTAATTGACCAGGCGGGATTCTAAATTCTGCATTTGTGTCTGTGTGTGCGCAAGCGTAAATGCTGTTTGCGTGTGTGTTTGCGTGTCTGAGTGTTGTGTGTCTGACAGTCCTCACTTCCACATTAATATTAACTGACACTTTAATTTGGATGGGAAATAGAGCATTTTACCGCCAGTTTGTCTGAGGATCGGGTGGCGGGGATGGCTGTATGACCTTTGCCTGTGTTTGTGTGTGTGTGTGTGTGTGTGTGTGTGTTTGTCAATCACCCTGCTTGTGTGTCTCTGCATCCTCTTTGCCTGCTTTTTTTTCTCTCCTCTCCCCGACAACCCACACCTCTCCATCCCATGGTGTCTTCTGCTTTGCACTCTCTTCCAATCTCGTCTCATTTCTGCTCTGCAATACTTACTTTTCTGTGTAATTAAGGCAACTTCCCTCCATCTACCCACTTCATTAAGATTTTTTTTTTTAATGCTTCTCCTATTCTTGTACTTTCTTCATGTCTATTTCTCTATTTTCCATCAAACTAAGCTTGACACCATCCTTCCATACGACCACTTAATTACAACATAATGTTGCTTTGTTTATATTCTCTCACATCTTTCATCATCTCCTGAATCACATCATGACAAACTCTTTTCATCACTCGAGGAGATGTTGCTCTGATTGCTCCTCTCATCCTTCCCATCTCCCAATCAGAGAGGACAGCCTGTGAAGGGGTGGAGGAATTATTTTGGATGACATCATTAAGGACTCATATACCTAAACAAGCCAAAGCAAAGGACTTTGACACGTTCAGCTCTCTGAACCAAACCTTAAACATCCATGTAAAAAACAACCATTTCATCGTTTTTGTTCTTAAGGGGTATTTTGTAGGCACTGACAAATGACCTAATTTGTCATTCAAATATGAGGACTTGTTGGTGTGTAGATAAAAGTTTTTATTTTGTAGATGTGAACTCGGTTTATGTGTCTGGTTTCATAACAAAGCAGTGCTGCAAAAGGAAGGCATGAAAATAAAACAATCAGTGCTAACAGTGATCTTATTATCCGACTACAACAAAGAATCTAATTAGCAAGACCTCAAAGCATTTCATTGCATGCTGACGTACATGTGTCTTTAACATGCTTATGTTCATCTGTATTGAAATAATAAAATTTAGTTTGTGCATGATTGTGAAAGCATGTGTGTCTGTAGTGCCTGGATTTGTTCATCCAGCAGTGATCCAGTGATTTATGCTCCAACAGTGCCTAATCCCAAAGTTAATGCTTGATGCTTATAGGTCCTATGGTTATTACCACTACTGGTGATTAGTCTGATAGCCTCATAGTCATAATTCCACACACTCCTCATCCCCAAAACACACACAGCACACACACATACTTACTTTATTAACTTTCAGAATTACTCTCAGGGCTACTATCTGTACTAGAGAGAGTCAGAGAGAGATAGAAAGAGGGAGGGTGTAATTATAATTTTAATAAACCTTAATTGTTACAATTCTAATATATATAAACTTAACAGAAACTAATGATAGCACAACACACATTTTGTAAAAACAAAAGTGTGTGTAACATAGCAAGTATAGTGAAGGAATATCTTGGCAAAAAAACACAAGAAAACTCGTTTGGCTTTGAGCTTCTTGATAAAATATGATATGATAATAAAGAGCAACATAAAATCATTAATAGTGGCTAATTACTGGAGATTAAGAACTGAATTTACTACTAACAGAACAGACCTACTGCATTAACATTACATATTAAATATTATGCCCACCTAAGGTACAGTTGTGAAATGACTCAGCATATTGCTAATTTCTAAGAGCAATGAAAGCAATTACGAGGAAGGAGCCTTTACTTACCAGCCATCAGTTAGTTCGTGAGTGTTTTGAACCCCCTGCCCGGTTTAATTTGTAGTGTAATCCTCGTAATTGTTGGCCTGGGATCCTGTTTTTAGGTCACATAATTTTCGATATCCCAGCAGTGAAACAGTTCCCAAGCTGTGCCAATTTTATTACAGCATATCTGAACACAGCTTGTAATGGATGATATGATGATTACAATACATTTTGTTGAAAATATTTCTAAAAACATATAAAAAAATCAGCCTTAGTCTTGGCTGACCCCATCTGCATATGAAGTCACCTCGAATGGGGTCCTGAACACAATGCTAAGAGATACGGACCGAATTAAAATACTAATTCTGGTGAGCATAAAGAATAGAACGTGTGATATGTAAATGAGAAAACATGGACATGACAGGCAAACAGAAAGACAGACTGCCAGAGTTAGCTCTTAGCCACTAAGTCTTATAAAATAAGTAGTCTCGCGCTTGACAACTTCATTTTCTGAGGCTGACAACATTATCTCCCCAAAACCGAAATGCATACACAATCATGTGCTGACACAACTATGCACTGAAAATCTCTTGACACTGACATTCACAAATCTGCATCTCCCAGTAACTCTACACACACACACACACACACACACACACACACACACACACACAGACCGACACACAGCTGCAAATTTTATAAACTCAGCTTGTGTACAATTTCCTCCTCCCACATTCAGCCGTGTTCCTCTCCCTGTTCATCCGTCTCTTGACTTCTTCTCCTCTCAGAGGATTTGATTAGATGCACAAATTAGACAAAATGCAATTTTTCATTTTGAAATGATGTTCGATTTACAGGACAGCCGGAGGTCTCAGCTCCGACGAAAGGGCCTGAGCCCACATGAAAGCAATTTTAGTGCAAGTTTGGCATGAAATGATAATTTACCATTTAATTTTATGAGGTGAGAGCTTTCCATTGCTGACAGTTGCTCAGAGGTCATGTTGGTGAGCTTATAACTGTTTGAATATCAGTGTGTTTGGTTTGAGCGGGAGCAGCTATGTGCATTCCTTTGACTGATGAGAGTTCTGTTAATTAACGTGTCCTTGTGTGTGTCTGATAAGGAAAAACAGAGAAACCATGTTGTATTGTCATATATCAATAATGTCTTAAGCAAACAGTACAAAACGTGCAGCACATTTGGCTCCTAGTGGCAGATTCTTCACAGCTGGTGCAAAGGGCCTGCAAAGTTATATAAACCACTGAGTCATTACCTTCATTAGCTAAACAAAACATTATTTTAGATCAGTACAGCTTTAAGAGACAGAAATTGAGAGCCACATTCACCTGAGCTCACAGCCCCTAAAACCTATCCCCAGCATTAACTGGATGCAGATTTTTGGTTAGGTTTTGCGTGGAACTTGGCTCTCTGCTGAGTAGTTAGTGGCTGATTCTGCCAGTTGACCAACCTCAAACTGAAGGTCTGTTTATTAAATGTGCAAAATGCATATCGATGATAAAAACAACTTCTTGTCTGGCGCTAACACAGTAAGTAGCAGATTCAGAATAATCACAAAGTAAAAGACAGATCGAATCTACAGAGACAAAGCCTGTGAGTATGAGCAACACTTACAAAGGCACAATTACGGGGCTTTGAGGCAATTTCATATAACTATGTAAAGGTGGTGCTTGAGATTTAGTACCAGGAAAAGAACAAATAAGTTACCCAGATTTCTGAGAATTGAGCAACTGCTTGAACAGAGTGATCAAGTCAGCCAGAGTGAACACGTCACCCATGTATATCATCAAAGAATGGTTTAAAAACAGTGGAGATAGGAGCATACATAAATGTCAAGAGAGATAACAACTTAAGAGGAAAAACTGCTAATAGAAAATCAATGATGTGTGGTGTGAGTATGTTACATACAGTGAAGTTGAATCATTGTCATTTCAGTTGTCAGGAGAGGCAGAAAGCCTTAGCCTGACGTGCCCCCCCCTCCTCTCTTCACCCTTAATGACTACCATTAAGGCTATTTTGACAGAAAATTACGTGGCGCCTTTCTTTTAACTGTGGGAGGCCGTCCGCCCACTCTCTTCTTGTGGCAGAGCAGTAGGCTATAGAGGCTGGCCGGAAACTTTATTATCCTCATTATTTTCTGATGGAAATGCACAGTCAAGGCAGACGTGGACAAATACACACACCTATCACCTCACCTAAGGCCACTGCTTTTTCAGAGGGGTTTGTCATCGTTTAGATTTCAAAGAAACAGCTTTGAAAAAAAATTAACGCTACAATTTTAGTTTGCCCTCCTCAAACACAGTTTCCCTTACATGCAAATGAAATGCAGTGACAACAAATCTGACCGTAGTTACATATTCACCAGCAGAACTGCAGTAAACGTGGTCAAATTGATGTTTGCGCACCGGCTTCCCTTTTTAAAACTGGATCTTAAAAGCTGACATGTTCCTCTGCATTTATGGGAAAGGTGTAAGTCCTAAGATGTCCACTCACACACATAAACGGAAACTGGCACAACTCTGCTTGGCTTCATTTCATTCCAAAATAATGTTTATCAAACAATCAGTCGTTTTTATTAATCTTTAATTGTGGGTTGCTTTTTCCTGCATCTCTCTTATTTGATTACGTGCTGCTGCTGTTGTCTGTGATACCAGTACTCATAAAACTTGGCTTTGATTGATCACTTGCATCTCCTTCTCCCTTCCTCCCCTCCTCTCCCTCTCTGTAGTCCATTAGTTATGGTAATGTTAGGTTAAATACGTCTTAACTTGCTGATGATTGATTTACACAGCCCCACCCGTAAAACACTCCCTTCGTCTTTTCGCCCTCCTCCCCTTCTTCGCTTTTGTCTCCTCCAGTCTCCACCCTCCCTGTGTAATGTATAACTTTTCAGGTTGCGAGCAGTCAGGCTAAAAGGCAGGCCTGGCTGTCAGCTCCACTGTGCGGGCTGCTGACAGAGCTCGGACAAGAGAGTCAGAAGATGAATCTGCCGTGTCACACAAACAGACAGAAGTATGAGCGATGCCTCTGCCAGCAGGCCTAACATGCTCAAACTCACACCCTGAGATGGAGACACATGACTAGCTTTATTTTTAAAATACAGGGGGGGAGATTGTAAACCCACAAAACACATACATGGTTGTCCTACTGCACTAGCGTGGACCTCATTCATTCGTTCCTCTCCAACAACAACTGTAACTCTCAGTATTTGCAAACTCTTAACTCAAACCTAGCTCTAATCCTAGTTCTAACTGTGCACCCTCTTTCCCACCTAAAAACATGACTAAACATTTGAAAACTATTGCTGTTTGTTAAGCATTTACTGTGACAGTCATCACTGCAGTGTGCAATTCAATTATTCTACCTCCTTCTGTTTATGATCTTGACTGGCTGAGATTGTTTATCCTCCAAACAAACACCCTTGTCTTTTTTTTTTTTTTTTTTTCAATTGAAGCATGTACTGCTGCTGTCTGTGTGGAGGTGTTTTATATCAGTGTTTGCACTGAATGTTGACCAATCAGGTAAAGTCTACACCATATAATTTCCTGTAGTAGTTGTGTTACAATTACTGTTTTTGGCTTTATCTTGAAATGTTTGACCTGGCAAACATTATGAACATTAATAGCAAAGTGTGCATGGTCTTCCACCACAGTTAATGTGATGTTTTTAGTGTATCAGTTAACCATACACATTGATTTAATAACCTAGTTGTAAGACCGAGGCCTAATCTCAAGGACCAGACTAAGTTTACCCACTGAAAAAGTGTGAATGAAAAATGTCCTCACTTTAGATGTCTACAACTTAAAAAGGGCTGCTGCGATGAAAGGATTGTGAGAACATGCACGCAGACAGACAAACACAGACACACATAGCATCACATTCACAGCCTGACAAAATGCACACTCATGCTCATACTCGGGGTGTTAATGTGAAAGCCTCAACACTTCAGGGACACCGTGAACCCCAGATCCATCTCCTTCCTGACAGCAGTCCTCCATTAGCCGCACACACACAAAATGTGGTTGTGGAATGCACACATACAGTACTTTGTCAGAAACACACACACATACACACAACGTTAATACATAGAGTGCATATTCTCACCAGGAACACACACACACACACACGCAACCAAACACATGGTTGCTGAATGCACAATTACAGTGCTGCTGCTGCTGCTGCCACTTTTTTTGGTCAGAAACAATGCTATTAAAAACAGTGTGCACTTTTTTTCAATTTTATCAAATTTTTCCCAAACATAACCACACTACTACATACATAAAGGAAACATAAGTGAAAATACAAATTAACTAATGCAAATGTGGAACACAAGACAGACTCACCTTTCTCGGTCTCCAGCAGTGATGTTATAAAGGTGATTGGCAGCTCCATCAGCACATGCCCTCAAGACAGCTACAGAAAGGCAGATAGAGTGATACTTTAGTCAGTGTAACTGGGCAATTCGTTTCAAATGAAGGGTACACCTTGCATTCACTGAAGACACATTTCTGCCTTTTAAAATATAACCAAGTTATTGTTACATGTAACCCAGTTTAAACTGGTATAAAGGTCACAATAAACCAGTTTCCACTTATGCAGAGGTGAGCTTAGGGTATGTGTGTCCACTTAACTTTAGAATTTTTCAATTCTTAAGTCAATTTTTTATGTTCCTATCTATGTGCACCACCTTAGTCTTGTCTAACTGGTGGCATGTAGGTGTAATTTCCAGTCTCATTCGGAAAGCCTCACCGCAGACATGAAACACCACTTCTGATTAGTTCAACAAGAGTGGGACTGAAGCAAGAATGGCCCATAGTGACAACAAATGGAAGCAAGGAATTAGGAAATGTGACGTACCATTAATGCGCACAAGTTGTACAAGAATTTTCATTTCAAGAAATTATGGCCTAAGATATGGCCTTGTACACTGTGTGTCGTTCGCAGCAGCCATATCACACATGTGGCAAAATTCCACTACCACTCTTAATATATATTGCATGCTCTCTCTCCCTGTGCTGCAGTTTCTTTGCAAAAAGTGTCCATGGTTTTTGTGAGTACACCTACAGCTTCTGTAGTGGGGCTGCACAATAAATCGAAAATTTATTGAAATCGCAATATGGCTTACTACAATTTTCAAAATGCAGGGGGGCAATATTTGTTAAAGACGAAACGTGCACGAAAATACTGTTTTAAACTAAATGTTGTCGTGCTGCACAGACGTCCTGGCCGACACATCATATTCTACAGACTTAAGGAGACCTCTGTTTGGTACAAATCCTCTCAAAAATAATTTTGTATAATAATAATAATCATACCTTGATCATTTTTTACATCAGCCTGATGGCTTTCTTCTTAAAGGCAACACACCTGCCAACCTATGCAATGCACAGACTTATTTTATGTTTAGACAAGAGCCATATAAATGTAATGTTATTATACAGTGATACACAAAGATGAATATTCAAGTTTGTTGTTGTAAACTGTACTGTACGCTGGGTTTATTTAAAGTTTGTTGTCAGTCTGGCAGTAAATGTACAGTGTAGGTCAGAGCATGTCCGTTAATAAAATGGATGTCTGTTTCCAGTCTGGAAGTTGAGCAGGACTGGACGGGGCGGAGTCACGTGACCACACACTCACTAGTATGTTTATAAGGGGAAAGTACATGAACACACACTGTAGAGAAAATATTTATAAATAACCAAAATAACCGACATGGTAACATTTAGAGGCTCTGAATTTCAGTTTCGAATACTTAATACTTAATTGTAAAGCCCTACACAACACTACAAGTTAAATAAATACACTTACTTCAATCATTAAAAACACTTTTTTGATTTTTTTTGAAAAAGTTTGAATTAGGCCCAAATTAGTTAGAAAGAAACCACCTTTCTGCCAAGGTAAACTTAATAAATAGCACTCTACACAAACAAGTAAATCTTGATGGTTAAAAAGTTTGATTTGACCTTTTTAAGGCAGTCAGTGAAAGAGCACTTATCTTTTCTGATTTTAAAAACAGAAAAATGAGGCGGTTACTTGCTATTCTTAAAATGGCATTCAAGTTGCACTAAATTAGATGCAAACTATTTGCAAATGTATGCTCTTTCATGGCCTCCATTCTATTCAAATTGAACAGGCAGCCTATTTTTTAAAAGCTTTTTTTCTGTTTGGGGCTGTTGTGGCGCACATAGGGGAAAAACTTCAAAGAATCAGCTGTAGTTTTCAACTTGTACCTAGTTTAAAACTAACTAAAGCCTGCACCAAAGAGACGGGCAACTGTTGTACACGTTTTTCTGTCCCTTCGGCGTTCTTTCTCCAACTGTGTCCATTCCCCAAGTGTGCACATGCCCGTGTGCATGTGATACAGGATATGGTACAGGATAAGCTACCTCTTCCACATGTGATCTGGTTTACTGCATGTGGCCATGTGCCCGCATACAAGTCACTACAAACAATCTGGAAAAGTCAAAGTGAGATGAATTTCACCCTGATTTGAATTTCTCTTCACTTTTCTAAACACTAATTCACCATTTTATCACACACACTTTGCTCACACTGGTTTGGACCCTGTCTCGCCTCCAGAACCAGACTTTATAGCATCATGCATCTCAGCAGCTGTCTTATAAAAACCGTAATAGTCAGATTTCTCTTAAAGTACTGCTGATTAGTATTATAACAACAACAGCGGTGGCTCCTAATGCAAAGGGCTGTGGGGAAAAAACACAGAGTCATCCAACAAAGAATTTGAACCTGGTTCAACTTTGGCTGCGATACATCGAGTAACGCTCTGCGCTGGACAAAATGATATGTGCAAGCAAGAACACATTCCTGGTAGATTAGTTTGTAACTTGAACAGAGCATTTCTATACTGTATACCTCACAAGCATCCATTTGGAAGAAAAATGTTTGCTGCCGTGACATCTGTCCAGAGCTGAAAAATCCTCTCATAGCAGCCGATTTTTCATTGGTGAATGCAATGCTTAGTCCGGGGAAGCTGTGGTTACATGCAGACTAAAATGTACTGTGTTTCCTGAGGCCACCCAAATGTCTTTAAAGGCCATGCACACCTATGCATCACAGGTGATTTAAATTTTGCTGCCCAATTAGGTGTCTTCTCAGCTCTATACAGACTGCTTGACTGACATCTCCCTCAGTGCCCTGTTAGGGTGACACTAATTACACCTTTATCATTCTTATTAACCTTTGTCACAACCTGTGTTTTTCCAGTTATGACATACCAAAATATCTGCAGTGAAAAAGGTGCGGTGACCTAACGAACACCACAGCGTAGCTTTGCCCATCTTCAAACTGATCATAGGTGTAATCAGACAAGAACTGAAAGCACCTGTCTGGGTGTGCAGGGCCTTTAATGCATTATGTTCAAGTCAATTTCTTTTAATAGTTTAGGGGCGAATTCACAAAGAATGAATTGCAGCCGCTGACTGCACCATGAATCACTTGCAACCACTATATGCCCTGTCTCAAGGTCCGTTCCACAAAGCTATTGCCCTAATGATATTACATGCCCAAACATTGCAGCAAGTGTAATCTGCCCTTGTTTTGAGGCTGTTAAATGTTCATCTGCACAATCCTTTTGTGAATTTGCCCCTTAAACCTTTATCATTTACATGCAAGTATGCTAGCTAACACTCTTTTCTTCCCTGCCTTTGATGCCGTATTCTAGTTACCGCCACCGACTGTCGATCAGTGGAATAGCTTGAAATGATCATCGTCAGTTTAATATTTAACACTTGTCGGTTTTGACAGCTGGTACCTTTAATAGCTCCACGTCAAAGTCTCTCAGTTCTGGGATATGTTGGAGAGCTTATTTAGGCAGACGTTTCACAGTTTTGATCAAGTCAAAATCACCAAAGATGACAATGCAGTAGAGAGCACAAAGAACTGAATGTCTGTCCAAAGCGCCAGCCACAATAGGCAGAGTTAGGGACCGTCTTAGTGCAATATGATCCATTTAAATCTTAAATAATGGTTTTTCGACATAGAAATCTTAAACCACTGCCAATTTAGATAGTGACAACTCTTAAACAGTTTGTAAAAAAAATAAAAAATAAAAAAAAATTCATAAAATGGATTAATCATGCACATTGCAAGGTTGTAATTGCAATAGCTTGCTCATTTATCACCAAATCACCTTTCATCTGTCCTGGACATCCTCTAACAACTTTCACAGCTGTTAGCTGTTTTTTGAAATGTTTGAATGTTTATATTAAACATTGGAATTATTGTATTGTATATTGTATGTATTGTTGTTTTTTTAACCGTGGTATCGAATTGGGTATAAATTTTAAATTTATTAAATAAATTTTAAATTTATTAAATAAAATTTTCTTCGCCAAACAGGTGTTTAACTATCTACATGACGATACTTTGTGTTTCCTTTAGACTACATAGACCACACTTCAGGTCAATATAAATTCACATTTTTGTAAACTTTGCATTACCCCCATATTCACGGCCATTATGTCCATACATCGTGCACAAATTATCACCTTGACCTCTAAAAATATCTTTAGCAACAATGCAAACTGTGTCACAACTATATACTGTAAATGTGCATGCTAACACAGACTCACACATACACTAAAGTAGACTCGATTATCAGAATTAAATAGAGACGAATGATTATTCCAACAGAGGGGGATTTCCTTCTCAATCTGAGAGAATACAGAAGTATTTGCGGTGATGTAAATAAGACACTTATACACAAGGTAGTGCTTTTATTCAGAACCATCACCACCTGCTGTCAATGTTCCACGTCAAGAAATGATTGGAATGTAAATTAGTCATTATCTCTGACAGAGTGCAAAGGCTGAGAAACTTTTCAACTGACAACTTTTCGAAAAACAGAGAAACTCCTCTTTAAGCCTGGTGGTGACAGACTGTAAAGCTATCAGTCATTATCTGTGTATAAGTACATTCTCACACACACACACAGAATAATTTCAGACTTAGGGTTCTAGAACAGTTACTTCGGTCTGTCAATCATTTACTCAGCTCTGTTTGCATGGCATGCCATTAAAACACACACAGCTCCAGTAAATCTGAGATGTTTAATGTGATTTGTGTGGCTATAACATAACAATCAAATGATCTACTTTTCATTCCATTTGTATAATTTCCCATTATATGCATTTTCTGACCATATTTCATACACACTGTGGTGTAACAAAAGGTCAGTCAGTCTTATATCATATGAGACTTCTCCTTGCTAATGCTAAGCAAAAAGTCCCTTACCGCTCAATATTAATGAGTAGTCATTTTCAATCATTTCAAACTGATAATTTTTTATTACATTCTGAATCTTTATGTTGGGTTTACCGCAGCATTTTCAATGCCCCCACTAACATCAGAAGAAACTATGACAACTTCATACAATATATTATCCTTTTAGGCTT